TTAATCATGAATAAATGATAAATTATTTGTCAGAGAAAATTACACTTTTAATTCTATGACTATTAGGGTCTTGTTAATTTCAATCTACGACATTAAAAATTAACAATTTAGTACCACAACTATGCAATTTTTATCTGATCTGGTTCATCCGGCCAAATTGCTGTAATATTTTAATTTGTTTAATTTGAGGGAAAATTAGTCATTCCAGGTTCAAAAAAAGGGGAAAGTTGAGAACACCGGAGATGGCATCGCATCCGCTGACGTGCTCCGAGTTGAAGCTGCCTTCAGAATCCACAGAATTCCTCGTAGGCATCAGAATTCTCATCGGCGGCGCTGTGTATTCCGTTCAAATTCCAATCTGCATAGATTAATTTTCGGCGGTGGCAGTGGAGGATTTCCAGACGGCAGCCTGAGTTCCTCTCTGGCGTGAAGTTTCTGGGCAGCTTCAAAATTTATGGTCAGCTTCAATTCCACGACGGTGGGAGGTTTCCCGTTCGACGATAGCTTCAGCAATTGTTTTAGGCAGTATCTTTGTTTGCGTGGCAAATTAAATACAACGCAACAGTAGAGGATTAATTCTTGCAGCAACAAACAAATTCTGTGGCAGCAACTATTTATTCACAACAATTGTTTTTTCTTTCTCTTCACTCATTATTATGAAATTAGCAATATTATGGGGAAGACGAACGGAGATGGGGAAGATGAACGGGGAAAACATACGCAGGTAAGCTTTGTACGGCCGACGAGGAATTCTCCGGCGTTCTCAACTTTTCACTTTTTTTTTTTTTTCCACATGGAATGACCGTATTGTCCCCCTTAATTAAACAAATAAAAATGGATTAAAATATTCTGGCGACAATTGACCGACAATTTGGCCGGATGGACCAAATCTGTTAAAATTTGCATAATTAGGGTACTAATTAAATTGTTAGTTCTTAAAGTCATGAATTGAAATTAACAAGACTTTAATAGTCATAGGATCAAAATTAAAATTTTCTCTTATTTGTCACTATCCCTTATAAGTAATAAACAATTTATTCATGATTAGTATTATATTTTCATCGTAACACAACTCGTCTCGCATATAAAGATCCGTGAAGTAGTATCATATGAGAGTCAGTCAATTATAATTCTATGTAAGTGAATGATATATATATATATATATATATATATATATATATATATATATATATATATATATATATATATATAGAGGGTTGCATTCAAATACAAATCCCTTTAAAATACAAACTTGTGCTCGTGCACACATTAACATACTTACATGCACACAGGGTGCACTGCCAACAATTTCTGAGATTAGCTCGTGCACACATTAACATACTTATATGCACACAGTGAGTAAGAGGAAAAATCACAACTATCCATCAAAGCTCGTGCACACATTAACATACTTACATGCACACATCGCGTAGGATGAAAAAATCACAATCATCCATCGAAGCTCGTGCACACATTAACATACTTACATGCACACAGTTTGTATTTTAAGGGAGATTTGTATTTTAAGGGGGTTTGTATTTGAAAATATATATATATATATATATATATATATATATATATATATATATATATATATATATATATAAGTTCTGGTGCGGTTAGGGTGCCCAGGTGCAGTTGTGCGATTTAATTTGGGCCTTTCATCTCGCTTAAATCAACATTCAGGATTATCAAAGTTTTAAAAAAAAACGTGGTGGCAATTTTGTAATTTTTGCATCTAGGTCAAAATTAAGGTGAGCGGATCTGTGATTAATGTGCGTGAGTTTTGTGCTTAATGTGCGTGGGGATGTGCTTAATGTGAATATTTGTTAAAACTTAAAGTCTGTGAGTTAATACTTAAAGTGCGTGGATTTTGTGCTTAATGTGCGTGATGTTTGTGCTTAATGTGCGTGGATTTTGTACTTAATGTGCGTGAGTTTTGTACTTAATGTCAGTAGTTGTTGAAACTTAAAGTCTGTGAATTAATATTTAAAGTGCGTGGGTTTTGTGCTTAATGTGCGTGAGGTTGTGCTTAATGTGTGTGAGTTTTGTACTTAAAGTGCGCGAGTTTGTGATTAAGATGTTAACACTTAAGGTGCACCTTAGCTTATACTTCTTTGTTCTAGGCACGCGTTTTTTTTTTTTTTTTAATTTTCATTGATTTGAGCTGTTGATCCAAATTTGATCAACGGCTCAGATTTAATCGCACAACCGCACGGGAAGCTATACCCGCACCTGAACCCTTCCCCATATATATATATATATATAGGGTAAGGATCAAATGAGGATACTTTCCCACATGAGGATTGCGGACTAATCCATGCCTTTGATTAAATGTGATCTACGACTCAAATTGTTTCTGATGGGAGAGAAGTGAAGTATAAATGAAGCGTGATGTAGCAATAGAATTAAGGGGCGCAGGGTTTTTGGGTAATTTGGTGTGCATCTAAGAGGAAGGAAAGCCCGATAATATCGACGACATTAACTACGCATTTGAGTCGAAAAAGGTAAGCAACCACTCGTCCAATCCTTTCGTCTTTGAACGTATGAGTAGCATACGAAGACATGGCGGGCGCAAAGAATAAGCATACCAGACAGAAGGCTCTGATGAAGACAACGGGTAATAGAAGTATGTACAAAAACCTAGGTTTCTTGTTAGGAGAGACCATCGTTCGGATTTGGTGGCCTCTTGTTTAGAGGTATTGGTCATGAATATTATCTGGGCATGGGAAGTTCTATTTGTGTCGCCGGAAAATGAGTGTAGGACGAGGTCGTCCGAACTACGATTTTCAACTTTGAGCGATTTTGTGAAAAATGGCCGCGACAAAAAAAAAAAAAAAGTATTTACATCGAATTCGAATTTGTGTTATTGCTTGGGTGTGGGGGGCTTGATTTTGTCTTGTTTTGTATTGTATTGAATAAAAATGCTTTGTTTGGGCACCACGGTATTTGCAATACATATAAATTAATCATGCTGGCATTTGTATTTCTGTGGAGGGCTAAAGTCTGCATTGTCTTTGTAATTCTAGCTTACTTTGATTTTTTGCCAAAAGGGGGTAGAACATTTGTCTGCATTGCATCATTTTTTTTTTCATATTCAGTGTGTGCTACATGGTGAGATTTTTCAATGAATGGGCTGTGATAAAAGAAGGTCCTCATGTGTGCATTTGTGATTTATGCTTCTTCTAAATTAATTTGATATTTTGGGGAGGAGTAGTTTTCTTGTAAGATTTTGGCCACTGTAACTATTATTTGGAAGGGCATTTCTGTGCATTGTAGTGTTCCTAAGCTTAATGTGGTTTGTAGGTGTAGTACTTCTTGTGTGTTTTTTGAGATTATAAATGGTGCAGTCTGTTTGTTACATTGGTGAAATATTTATAGTGCATCTGTGATTATTATCAGTGCATTCTGTGAAAGTACACATTGTGCATTTCTTGCGTACATGTGCATTTGTTTGAGGTGTAAACTATTGTAGTTCTATATGTACCAGAATAGGTTGTTTGTCTGGTTAAATTTATGGCAAATTTATGGCTAAGAGGATTATACAACTGGAAATGATATTCTAGTGCCATATTAAATCTGTAGTTGCTAACACCGTGTGCATCTGATGTACATAATTCTGTGCATTTAAAATGCAAGCAAATTAGTGAGGGTATGTACTATTTTTAATGGTGCATTTCTGAGTGTATGAATGGTGCATTGGGTTTGTCACTTTGTGGAATTAGTTAGGGTGCATGCGAGACATATTATATCTGTAATTGCAAAGGACGTGTGCATCTGTTATAAATAATTCTATGCATTAGAAGTGCATGTGAATTAGTTTCGCTGCGTAGTAAAACAAATGATGCCTTTTTGTGTGCAGATGCGATGGAATTGAAGGATACCAAGAATAAGGTGGACTGTGGGGTGTTTACTATGAGACACATGGAAACATTCTTAGGAGAGGGAGCGGCGAATTGGAGCTGTGGGTTTCGCATGGGAGATAAAACTGCACTATAAATTTTACGGCTCAACTACATGCGGGATATACTACTAAGTGAATGTAATGAGCATCATGGACGTAACCTCTCGAGCGCCCCACTATTCCACAGGATGACCTAAATGTAAGACATCATATGAGGTTTTTGAGTGTTGCGGTCTGAGAACATATTTTTGTGTGTGGTAAATTGTGACAATGATGACCTAAACAACAAATCCTTTTTTTTTTTTTTTTTTTTTTTTTTTTTGGTGTTAATGACTATGCATCATGTCTTGAATTTCTGTGAATTATATTACTAGTATTTAAACAGAACAACTTTAAATGGTTTATTACATATATATGTATGTATCTAGTATTTACCTATAACTAGTATTGTCCCGTGCGATGCACAGATACGTATTATAACTATTATTTTAATACTATAGTAAATAAATCATAGTAAATAAATCATTAGACAATTAAATTGCACTTGTTTATGGCAAAAAACATTTTAGTACCTTAACTCATTAGTTCATTTCACAAAATATTGGAATGAACTTAATTTTGTATAAAATATGACTACGTTAGTAGTTGAAGTACTAACACTATTAAGATCATTACATATTAATATTTTAAACCCATTTGGATTGCTCACTCGGGAAGCAGCAACATACAATTGGCCATGAACAAATACTGATTTCTTTAAAAGTAACCCAACATGTGTAAGTGTTTGACCTTGACTCTTGTTAATTGTCATTGCATATGACAACATTAAAGGGAATTGTTTTCTTTGAAATTTGAATGGCAATATCGGATCTGATGGTGTCATAGTCATCCTAGGTACCAGTACTTTAGTTCCTGCATTGCTACCAGACATGATTTGTCCTTCAATCACGTGGTCTGCCAATCTGGTAATTACCAGTCTAGTTCCATTGCATAACCCAAGGGAATGGTCTATGTTTCTCAATAACATCACCGGAGACCCAATTTTTAAGGTCAATGAATGGTTGGGGACACCTGACGCCCTTATACCATTTAAGAACTACGGTGTGTGCACATCATCGAGCAGGCTGCTATTTGACTCGGATCTACATACTGAGTCACAACTGTAGTATGTTCTGCTAACCCCTATATGCAAATCACTCATGTATTCATTGATTGAATTAACCACGTCAAGCGTTGGGGCTAGAATTGCTCGACCTTCAAGAAGGCTAGAATCTGCATTCCCACTCATGATCATAGGGAACGTACTTTCAACTATAGTGGTGATCGGGTCTCCATCGGACGGCAGTAACCTATCATGCGGTATCACTATCTCAGTGTTACCATCACTGTGACCATCGACAATTCCATCACCTATACTTGCGATCCAATTTGCAAATTCCTCAAGTTGTTTGATGTCTACACCCGGATCAACTCTATTTAAACGAAGGTTTTTTGTTAATCGTAACACTTTACAACTGTCCCACAAGTACGATGAATTGATGGCTGCAATACGATATCTTGTCTTGTACCTTTAGGGATAACTGGCAATACGAAAGTCGCCTCCAAGCACAACTGTTTTCCCACCAAATGTCTGCATAGCACTATTGGGATTTTCAAATCTTAGCAGATCTCTCATAGTCCTGTCTAATGCTTTAAAACAGTGTTTGTGCATCATAGGTGCTTCATCCCATATTATCAATTTGCTTCGAATGATCAACTCAGCTAAATGGCTGCCTTGTTTGATATTACAGGTTGAGTCTTCATTTACTACAATAGGTATTGCAAATCTTGAATGAGCCGTCCTACCTCCCGGTAGCAATAATGACGCTATGCCACTCGATGCCACATTGATAACCAATGTTGAAAAAATCGCTAGGCGCCCTCTAGGCGCCTAGGCGGACGCCTAGAATGCCTAGTCGGGCGCCTAGACCGCCTAGGAGGCCGGGCGCCTAGCGCCTAGGCGCCTAGCGCCTAGGCGCCGATTAATCGGCGCCTAGGTGCGATTTTTGCATCAGTGTTGATAACTATATCACCTTTCGCTCGCAGTGCAGCAGATAACGTCTTCCACAAAAATGTTTTACCAGTACCCCCATACCCATAAACAAAGAACAACCCACCTTTGTTTTTCATCACGTCCTGAATAATGGTCTCAAAAATTTCCCTTTGTTCATCAGTTAGAGTTTTTGACATTTTTTCGCTCTCAAGCTTAAGTGTCGTGCGATCGTAGTTCAATTCTTCAAACAACAAAATATTTTCGACCGCTCTTGAGCCATCCAGGTTTGGTGTTGGCATCGGTAGAAAGTCTATAAGAGACTTGTTGTGTACCATTAGCAATTTGTCCAGCTCCATTAGCCCAAAATTTTGTTTTTCAACTTCTGTTAGAACCAAATCTGTGCATAGTAAACAGGAAAAATATAGTACCTAGATCGGTTGCACCATTCCACGTTGATGTGGGCTTTGTATCTTAGAAGTAGGTACCTATTATGAGGTACCACAAACCTGTTGTCTAAATCTATACCGTTCTTCTTAATGGTTTTTCCATCATCCCGTCGTCTATATACGGGGTACCCCTCGTGGTCAAATTGCGATTCATTCGCGAATTTTTTGGGGAAGTGTTTAGAACACTTCCCATTAACCATGCATGGGGAATTCTTTCTTGCCAATCCACATGGTCCATGAACCATGAATTCCTCAACTGCATTGTAGTAATTCATATCTAATGCTGTGTCTGGGATCTCAGCCTTTATAATTGAATCTATGTATGTCGGACTGGACATATCACCTTTATTCTTTAGGAAGATCAAGATATGTGCATGTGGTAACCCACGCTTTTGAAATTCAATTGTGTAAATAACTGCAATAACATATCAATTATAGTTATTTTTTGTATTGATATTAATCAATTATAATTATTTTTTGTATTGATATTAATATATATAAAAAACGTACGGGATAAATTATAATTTGACAATATTGGATTATTACCTGATTTCACTGGGCCAAATAGCTCACCATGTTTGAATTCCTTTATTAAACAATCCAATTTCATCTTAAATACACGACAAACAATGTCAAGTCGATCTTCAGCATGTAAGTTTCTCTTTGTAATGTATCGTTGTATTTCCGGCCATTTCGGGTTACATGTGAATGTAACGAATAGGTTTGGATAACCAATATGTCGACAGATGACCATTGCTTCCTGATAATTCTGAATCATGTATCTCGCACCACCTGTAAAGCTTGAGGGCAATAGGATTCTTTTTCCTTGAGTGCTGGCTTTAGTCTCCCCTCTAGTCAAGGCATTTGTCAAACCTCTTAATGCTTCGCACCTCAATGATTTTTGGTGAGTCCTTATGTATATCAACCTTGCAGATTCTACCAGTGTGTATGCATCCACAATAAATTGTTGAAATAATCGCCTAGCATACAAAATAGTAGATAATTCGTCCAATCTCTCATGGATACGGAATGCGAAAAATTCCCTTTGAGATATACGCTTCCTAGCATTTGTGCTACTTGACGTTCTGGTTGCAAACTGTATATCCTCTCTAAACCCATCTTCACCATACGGAAATAAAATCGGGTATTGCAATGGTATATATGATGGATTTAGTTCATTTATTCGTTGCAAACCACCAGATTTACACTCAACCAAAATATCTCTATGACCCATAGATGGATCCAAATCACTAACAATTAGTGTTGCGACCTCTGATGATGTTGGCAAGTTATAAGTTCATGCATATGTATTTCTTTTACCAATCAATCTCATCTTGATATCAACCCTTGGATTTCTATCAATTTCTGACCTAGCCATACGAAAAGATTTCACCAATACATTATTTTCATCTAAAACATCTCTAATGTCCTCCACCACTTCAACATGTAAATCTTGTCTAGATGTGTTTTCCCTGTATTAAAAAGTTTATAACCCAAATTAAACAAAATACTTGTAAACGAATCTACACAAGTGAACACTAAATTGATCTACACTATACCTGACAGAAGCAATGCGATTCTGAATTTCATTTTGTGTGTCGTGAATGTATAATTGTGCAAACTTCGGTTGACTACCATCAGGTGGTAGCAAGCTACCAATACGATGAAAATTCTGTCCATGTATCTTGAAAATGGGAGGAGCTGAACCATTGTTGACACTTTTGTCTATTTTCCCACCCATTGATGTAAAGCAAAACATGTTATTATATGATCGTATGTTTTGTAAGAAACGATTTCGTTTCTCACTTGGCGTAAAAAATAGATCATATAATTTCTTGGGAGGAATTGACATCCTAGGTAGTTTGATTTTCCCATTCCCACAACATCCTGAATACTTAGTGGCATGTGTGGTTTTAGACTTGTTGGTTCTTTCCTCGTACCAATAAAAACAGCTACAGTGCTCACATGTATCAAGTGGATCTCCAAAATCTATGTACTGAACTGAAGTTTAAAACAGTTTGTTACAATTTTAGATACAATAATTTCATTAGAAATTATAAAAAATGTAAACTAACCATCATTAACATTTGTTGTGTTTCTCTGCTGGCCACAGACTTCCCCAATTTCTTCGGTCATACAATTGAACATGTTAAGGGATGGCACGTGATCTTCACCATTGTTTTGTAGATACATCCGCATTGAATTACAAATACCACTATCAACACCTGAGGAAGAAGTTTTCGAATTAAATGTGCTTATGATGTAGATTTTTTATTATAAGGTAACATATAATAATAATTATTTTTTATTTTTCTTAGAGCTATATATATTATTCATACTTACAATTGAGCGTGTTTGATGTAGTTGCTTGAAAGTCACTCACTTTATCGAATTCATCATTTAAATCGCGACACCGTGATATTGAGTTAAATCCATTCACCCAACCATTATTAAAATTTCTTTGTTTAAAATGGTCATCGACATCACAATCTAAAAAATGAAAAAGAATTATAAGTATTTTATGCAAGCTAAAATAAATATATACGGACAAATCCTTGGACAGTTAACTATATAGTGAATATATAATCATACTTAAACGTGGGTTATTAGTCGACACTGTATGCAAAACCTCAGTCACTGTACCTAAATTTGTGGCCTTGAGGGTTGACCTTGGAAGAGGACCTGTAACTACGTTAAAAATTTGGCATTACAGATTTGTTTACTAATTGTATTCCATCTTAAATACACTACAATACTGCGATTACCATTAGTTGGGAGACTAATTTTTTCAGAAGCCATATTGTTTTCTATGCTTGACCTAGCACAACTGGTTGCAGGAGTGGAGTAGTTATTCTCAATAATTTCATGTCTTTAACCTGTAAAATGAATATTAATATTGAAAAATAATAAACCCATGACATTGAATATAAAGAAATATTTTAAACGTTAACAAACAAACTTAAATTGTAAGTGTGGCAACGGAACTTACTATTATTGATCTGAGCAAGTGGTGTACGTTGTTCCTCTTGATTATGCCTCCTCCAATCTGATGTACGGTTTGGTGACACATTATATGTGTCACCTATTGTTGTATTTATTAATGTGCGTTCTATAAAAATAAAAAAACACAGTATTAGCACGTAGTGTACACTAATAAGAATTTAGTACAGTTTAATGCCTCACCGGAAGAAATTACACTAAAGGGTGTGGATAGTGATGATTGAAATACACCAAATACATTATTTTTTGATGCACTATCAACCAAAATACCCCTTGATGGTGTCTTTTTTTTATCTTAGAACTTGATAAATTTTGATTTTCTGAAAGATCAATAATATATAAGCAAAAAATAGGACTCCACATATAATATACTAATTTTAACATTAATATAAACAAGAAGATAAACATAGACTCTAGTTATGTGTATGAATATATATTCAACAATAATTACAACCATACAACATAAAGAAGTATTATTAAGTGGTCAATACAATTTAGATGCTGAAAAATTGATGATAAATATATTTATTTATTTAACCCTTTCAATATACATATTATAATTTATTTTAATTATACGTTGCTCTGTCTCTCTCTAGAATGTTCTTCTCAGCCTTCATTCTTGGACATCTCACTAAATCTCCAAATCCCATTTATGAAAACTGCAGTGACACTGATTTTTGCAGCGGATGGTGTCGCCGAATTATTCATCGGAGAAGAGCTCTTTGACAGATGAAGGCAATCGGTTGTCTCTCTGACCATCAATGAGGTAACTGTTTGTTTCAACAAATTTTGGTTTGTTTTTTCTCTAAAAATTTAGTGTAAGATTTCAACATGCATGGTTATATAGTGCAAAAAATTACTTTAAAAACATAAGTATCACGGATCTCCAGCCTCTTGTTCTCCATTTATCCAAAAACTACAATTTTTGATTCTATGTTTATAAATTTTATTTTTCAAATTTTAAGATTACTGTCGAATTTTTCAAAAACATAACTACAGCTGTTTCCTAGGATCACCGTTGTTGGTCTAAGCTCCGATCTATGTTTGGTAGGTTAGATTGTTAAAATTTGTTTTTTCTAACACTGATTTTGCAGGGATTGGGGTCACTGGATTATTCATGCCTCCGACAGATGAAGGAGACCGGTTGATTCTCTGACCATTAATTCCGGTAACTATTTGTTTCTACAAATTGTGGGGGTTTTTTTTTTTTTTTTTATCATAAATCTTCTACTAATTCAGGTCATATTTAATAATGATATATTTAGTGTAAGATTTGAACATGCATGATTATATATTGCAAATTCGCGTGTCTCGGGTCTTTTGGTTTACTCTATGAACTTTATTTTTATAATTTGAAGATCTTTTTTCGAAGTTCAGTGTATGAATATGATTTTTCAACTATCAAGCTTTATGTCAGATTTTGCAAAATTATGTTTACTCTATGAATTTTATTTTTCTTGTTCTCCTAGGTATTGAATCCAAGAACAAATTACATAAGTGTTCAACAAATTTTAAAAATGTATTTAAAATGGCATTTCAAGTCATATGCATATTAAGATGTGCTTAAATTTACAATGACAAACAAAGTTAACATAGAATTACATTTCTCATTCTCAGCTTGTTTTAATTTGATTCTATATGTATTTTCCCTAATTTTTAACATCTATAGAACCCTAAACAGTGTTTTGCATGTTTTAAAAATGAATACTTGCTAAGTGTTATTGAAGCATAAACGGGATGAAAAACATATTACTCTTGAGGTAAATGTGAGTTAAAGCTATCTTCTTCAAACAGATTACTCTTGAGGCACATGGAGGATAGTTAATTTTAATTAGTTCCTAACCATATATTTGCTATCCTGCATTTAAATGTAAATTTTCTATCCAGTCTTTTGTTTTCCAGCCTTGTTCTCAAAGAACTTTAATTTTTGAATCTATGTTTACTGTATGAACTTTATTTTTCATATGTTAAGCTTTCTGTCAGATTATTATTTCATGTATGTATGTGTGGGTAATAACTACCCTTGTTCTTCTATGTATTGAATCCAAAAACACAAATTATATAAGAGTTCAACAAATTTCAAAAACATATTTGAAATGATATTTCAAGTCAGATGCATATTAAGATGTGCTTAAATTTACAATGACAAACAAAGTGATAATAGAATTACCTTTGTCTTCCTCAGCTTGCCTCCTCTACCGTTGTCGTAGGGGTATACTTTCTGTTGTTGAAGCCGGTGTTGTTGTAGGTCATGCGCATAGACAATGGTTTTTTAACCGTTGTCTTTTCTACCAACGACAACGGTTGTCTATTAAGTGTTGTTGAAGCCGGTGTTGTTGTAGGTCCTGCGCATAGACAACGGTTATTAACCGTTGTCTTTTCTACCAACGACAACAGTTTTTTAACCGTTGTCTATTAAGTGTTGTTGAAGCCGGTGTTGTTGTAGGTCCTGCGCATAGACAACGGTTATTAACCGTTGTCTTTTCTACCAACGACAACGGTTTTTTAACTGTTGTCTATTTAGTGTTGTTGAAACCGGTGTTGTTAAAAGTCACGCAATAGACAACGGTTATTAACCGTTGTCTTTTCTACCAACGACAACGGTTTTTTAACCGTTGTCTATTAAGTGTTGTTGAAATCGGTGTTGTTAAAAGTCACGCAATAGACAACGGTTATTAACCGTTGTCTTTTCTACCAACGACAATGGTTTTTTAACCGTTGTCTATTAAGTGTTGTTGAAATCGGTGTTGTTAAAAGTCACGCAATAGACAACGGTTATTAACCGTTGTCTTTTCTACCAACGACAACGGTTTTTTAACCGTTGTCTATTATGTGTTGTTGAAACCGGTGTTGTTAAAAGTCACGCAATAGACAACGGTTTTTAACCATTGTCTTTTCTACCAACGACAATCGTTTTTTAACCGTTGTCTATTAAGCGTTGTTGAAACCAGTGTTGTTAAAAGTCACGTACATAGACAACGGTTTTTAACTGTTGTCTTTTTTTTTAAAAGACAATAGTTATAAACCGTTGTCTATTGGGTGTTGTTGAAACACCCATAAACTGTTGTCTTTTGTAGAAAAGTCAACAGTTTCTAACTGTTGTCTATTGTAAAATAGACAACGGTTTTTAACCATTTTTCACCTGTTTAAATTATAATCGTATAAAAAAATAATTTATCCATTCACCATATGTTGCAAAGTGTAGTTACATAATTGTGCACAAGCTAATAAGGTTCAAAATAACAAGTCAAAAGACAACACATGACCAATTCTAATTATCATCCAAGTCATAATACTAATACAACAATTCCCCGAACCAATTCAAGTCCAGATGATCACAACGTTCGAATGACCAAATCATACCTACTCTATATGACTTGATAGAATATCGGCCCATTCAGATCGCACCAGATCAATAACCTCTTTGTCATAATCAACTTGTTGAAACTACATGTAAAAAGTAAGAAAATAAATTAGTATAGATATAAATAATTTGCAATGAAATGAAACTGCCCTCTTACTCTCACCACATTCATACTCAAGCTGTTCATAACAAGATAATGAGTTCCCTAAAGAGAATCATAACAAGTGTAACCAACAAGTAAAGAAACACACTTGAAAAAGCAATACAAATGCACTCCCAAAAAAAATGTTAACAGATCAGATACACATGATTCAGGTTCTTGTCTTAGCCTTCAAGTCTTTGGGAGATTACTAGACACCCAAATTTGATAAACAATTCAGATAAAATCTCATGAGAATATAATGCATGAAACTTAAACACAAACGACAAAGAAATCCCTTATTAATTACAAAACATCAAGCACTAAAATGCCCAAAATTTCGAGCTTTCACACGCATTCTACACCCAAATTTCAGAGCAACAAACTTATTCTAAAAAATAAAAAATAAAAATCAAATTTATCTTCAATAACTGTCCAAATCAAGTGAAAAAGAGAGAGGCTTAAACCCAAGCTAACAAAGCATTAAAAACCTAGAACCATTCTGCAATTAAATAACAGCGAGAAACAAGGAAGAGAGAGTAGAAATGGAATATAATACCAGTGCTTGAACAGAATTTTTATCATCGAAGTCTGGCATATTCTCAATTAAAGTTTTCATGTATGCCATGACAAAGAAACCGCATTGATTACTATCCGGTTGACGAGGAGCCTACAAATGTTAAATAATATTTGCATTACAATTTAGCTATATACAAACACTTATATAGTTAAAAATATGAAATTACCTTGACAATTTCCCAAGCAGTTTTACTGCGTCCTTTCTTTGCATTCGTAGTGGATGCATGAACCATTTTAATAGCCCTTCATATATATATATATATATATATATATATATATATATATATATATATATATACATATATATATATATATATATATATATATATATATATATATATATATATATATATATTTGATTATTCAGATTATGTAATAATAAATCGAAAGAATGAAAATAAAAAAACTAAATAATAAAAACTTACATTTCTACAACACGCTTCCAATCATCATCACGAATGCGATGATTAAGAGGGTCCCACACATAAACTGTGTGGCTTGCAAGCATAAGGCCGCTAACCTAGCATATTTAAGAATAATATATTACTATTAAAATTCACACAAGACTAATTTTGAACACATTTACCAACTCTTGTGCTTACAATTAATTATACCACTAAAATTCAGAGAAATGGAAGACATGAAAATATTGAAAATCTAGACGTATTCCAACAGTTATATGGGCCAGATTAGCTTACTGCTAATTTTTCGATAATATGATCCACAGTAATTCTGACAAATCATGCAATCAGTTCCTTAGTAAGGATTGACCATTTAAACAAGGAAATCTTACCCTGTGAGCAGCTTGGACGTATGGTGACTTTCTAGATAAAGCAACTTACCAAGAAAGATTAGTTTTTGTCACGTTACGGACCAATGTGAGTAAAACAAACTGAATCTCACATATTAATGTGAGTAATATATTTCTAAAAGGCTTACCTGGATACTAGCAGGGCCCCACTCAATAAAATTGACAAGCTTCCTCTCACGAATTCTCTGCAGGCTTTCATGGACTTGAATTTGGAAAGTCCATATATTTTACAATGAATCTTAATGGGATCTAGAATGTTTAATGAAAATTTGCATGCTTCTGGAACCACAAACTAAATATATATATCTTATGCCATTATATGGATGAGATATAGTCAAAGTGGTACTAATAATTAAGATGAGAAAAATTGCTGAGAAAGCTATAGGATTTATTTCTTAAAATATCATTGCCAATATGAGATGTGTCCAAACCATGCAAGATTTTGGAAGGGAGATGTACCTAACTTTGTCTTCAAAGAGGTTGTTTCCAGGGGCCAAATCTAATAGTCACCGGGCTAACACTTGGTTCTACACCAAACTCAACCATCTATAGATTACTTTAAGAGATTATCCTACTTTTAATCCTTGACTATAGTGAGAATTCCACATTTGGTCCTCGACTTTGATTTATGGAAACAACTCTTTGTGATGGCAGTTCTGGTATTTTGGACAAAGTAGAATGTTATCTAAAATTGTAAACTAAAAAGTGGAACAAATCAAAATTGAGAAGCAAAAGTGGAAATTTAACTATAGTTGAGAAAGTGAAATAAACTCATTACTTTCACTGATAAAATTTAGAAAGGCCTTCAATAAGTAGCACTATAGATAAGATAAGATGCTTTATGATTCATTGAACCTACAGTAACGACATGATCAAAGTACACTTGTAACTTTAGCACAAAGGTCAAATACTTAATGAGCATAGCATCAAGAATACCTGTGTTGGATCTACTTCTCCTTGAATAATGTTTAATATTGATATATACTTTGCTTGACTAGCTTCCTTTGTCCGAGCGTAAGAGGAAACCATGATGTTCTTAGTCTGCACAGCAGAAAGCTTTAAGTATATTTGCATTTCACTATTTGCTTGATTCAGTCCCACCTGAAGAAGTCTTCTCATCACATCAAGAACAGTTGTCTTGCGTATTACATTAACCTGTAAAAAGGACTATCTGCATTAGAATACAGGGTTTTCTCTTTTCTTTCTTCCTGAACAAAATGCATCAGTGCATCGTTGACATCAGGCCTTTTCATTATACTTTGTTAACTTTCTAGTCTTGAAGTTTAAATATTCAAACACAGATATAGATATGTGCATTTCATATTAAGAAGACAGTATGAATGTATGATGGAATATTTATATAGTTAATTAAAGGGTTTACCATCAATTGGCTTCTCACTTATATGTTGTCCTTAATGCATCAAACATGAATTAGGTAATAATTAGATCATGACTAGAAATCTTACTTGACGCTCCACTGTGAGTGGTGTATGGGAGCCATCAGAAAGTGGCACCTTTGGTGTTGGTATTAGAGAAGCAAGGAGGCCAACCAAGCCATTATTCATATACCCTAGATAGTGCAACGTTGTTGTGCTTGCTGACATGACAGTAGAAACTAAAGAATTTGTTTGAGCAAAAGTAGGAGTCGTTATATGAAGGCGCTCCACAGCTATTCTATTGAGTGCAGTATTATCAAGAACAACAGCACAATCAGCATTAAGTGTCAGTCTCTTGAGTGTGAGAAGGGAGTTGTATGGCTGAACAACTACATCACTTGTCTCATTTTGACACAAAATAAATTTAGAACAAACACAACACATTTGATTCAGCAACCAGTGCAAGACAAAATGGGTTTCAACTAAAACTTTTTTATTACTTAAATGACAAAAATACAAAGAAGAATAACAACTTGATCCAAATTGACAAAGAGACAAAACCTGAGCCTGTTCCACCAGCAATTGAGTGACAGAGAACAAAACCCTCAAGACTATCACTTCCATGAGCCTGTTCCACCAGCAATTGAGTGACTAAGAACTCGGATTTTTAGCATAAATGTAACAACATTGAGGCAGAAATTTCCCATAAATTTTTCAAATCGTCAAACCCCAATTCCCCAACCCTAGCTTCAATCCAAAATTGTTTAACATAAACACACACATTGATACAACCAGATAATATTTGGATGAATTTCACAGCTTATTACATTTCAAGAGAAAAACTAACCTTCAATTTTTCACACTAGTTTACTGACTTCTTCATGGCGGCGGCAGATGAGGGAGGCGGCGATGGCGGCAGAGGTTGGAGGCAGCGACGGCGTCGGAGGTTGGAGGCGACGATGGCGGCAGAGGTTGGAGGCAGCGACGGCGTCGGAGGTTGGAGGCGGTGAGACGACACTCTCGGCAGAGAACACTGAGTGGCGCGAACACTGATTGAGGAAATGGAAAATTTGCAATGGAGAGTTGGGAACGACGGTGTTAGTGAACTGTCGAAGTGAAAATTTGCAAAGAGGGAAAAATTCGCGCTAAGTAAAAATTTGAGAAAAGAGGGAATTGAAAGAATTGAAGGAATTATTTTTATTTTGCAAAGAGGGAAATAACATAACATATACTATATACTATATATTATGTACTAATATACTCCGTAATAACAAAAACGACGAAATTTTATTTTAATTTTATAATAAAACCTTCATTTTTTTTTCAAATTAAATAAGTATATTCATGATTTTATAGGGACCGAGTCCACCATAAACCAGGTATATAGGTATAGATCTGGGGTAAGAAAATATTAGTTTTATTACCCGGTGCGCTAGACCCAAAATAGTACCGGGTATATAGGTACAGAACGCGAGATAAGAAAATAGTAGTTTTATTACCCGAGGTGTACCGGGTATATAGGTACAGAACGGGAGGTAAGAAAATAGTAGTTTTATTACCTAGGGTGCTAGGTCCAAAATAGTTCATAATTTCTATACTATAGATTATGAATTTCTATACTATAGGCTCATAATTTCTATATTATAGATTCATAATTTTTATACTATAGATTCATAATTTCTATACTGTAGATTCATAAAATCTTTACGGTATATTCATAATTTCTAAACCGTAGATTCATAATTTAAATACAGTAGATTCATGATTTCTATACAGTAGATTCATAATTTCTACACTGCAGATTCATAATATTTGGACTGTAGATTCATAATTTCTTTATTGTTCATTCATAATTTCTAAATTGTATAGTTATCAAATTATGAACATATAGTTATGTGATTTGTGAATACAGAGAACAATGTGCACCATGAAGGGTCGATTACCAACATATAGCTAACCTTGTTAGTCATACGCTAGCCGGAAGGGTCGATTACCAACATATAGCTAACCTTGTTAGTCATGCGCTAGCCGGAAGGGTCGATTACCAACATATAGCTAACCTTGTTAGTCATGCGCTAGCCGGAAGGGTCGATTACCAACATATAGCTAACCTTGTTAGTCATGCGCTAGCCGGAAGGGTCGATTACCAACATATAGCTAACATTGTTAGTCATGCGCTAGCCGGAAGGGTCGATTACCAACCCCGGCCCCTATCATACCGCCCTTAACCCCTACACATCATACCGTACCATTATGAACACCACACCGCACCGCCAGGGCCGTTCTAGGCCATGTCGAACTGGCGCGACCGCACAGGGCCCCCAAAAAAATATCATACATATAATCTATTGTTTTTTATACTTGATAATTATTATTATTTTTTTGAATTCATAGATTGGTCTTAATTGTAATATAATTGAAAATAAAACTTTAATGAATTGACTTTGAAATTTTGGTGAATAATTTTATATTTAAATATGAACGAAAATAGAACTATTAAATTAACATTTGAATTGTATTCTTTCTTTGTTAAAGTATAGGTAAAAGATAAGGTGTAACACTTTAGTACACAAGAGTTGGTGTGGCTTGGTGGATTTAGCTTTGTTTGTTATATTATAAAGGTCTTGGGTTCTATCTTTTGTGGTTGCATTTTTAACCTATTTTATACAATCATTGTCTTGGTTCTTAAAGACAACACATAAGCAAATTGGTAATATACTAGATGTTGCACTTAAGTATACTAGTGTTGGTGTGGCTTGGTGGGTTTAACTTAGTTTATTATGTTAGAGGTTTTAGGTTATATTCTTCTTGGGGGGAATTTTTCAACTATTTTCTAAAATTGTTGTCTTGGTTTTCACAAACAACACAGAAGCAACCAAGTTATATACCAGATGTTGCACCTTTAGATATAAGAGTTTGTGTTGCTTAGTTGGTTAATTCGTTTAATTGTTAAGTTTGAGGTCATAGGTTTGATTTTTGTTGTTAACATCTTTGTTTTTATTTTATATACCAGTTAAATAATGATGCGCAAAGACAACGGTTTTTTAAAACCGTTGTCTTTGTAGTGTTGTGTATTCAAATACGCTTAAAGACAACATACCAAAGACAACGGTTAAATAAAACCGTTGTCTTAAACAAATAAAGAACGCGCAACGACAACGGTTATATAAAATCGTTGTCGTTTTAGTGTTGTGTATTCGAGTGCGCTTAACGACAACACACCAACGACAACGGTTAAATAAAACCGTTGTCTTTTTTTAAAAAAAAAAAAAAAAAGAGCGCACAAAGACAACGGTTTTAAACAACCGTTGTCTTTCTAGTGTTGTGTATTCCAGTGCGCTTAAAGACAACACACCAACGATAACAGTTAAAAAAACTGTTGTCTTATTAAAAAAAAACGCACATAGACAACGATTTTAAAAAAACCGTTGTCGTTGTGGTGTTGTCTTTTCACAAAATTCACAAAGACAACACACTTATAACAACGGTTAAGTAAAAACCGTTGTCTTTGACAAAAGTGTTGCATCAAAGACAACGGTTTTGGTTCAAACTGTTGTCTTTTATACAAAAGACAACACTTTTCTTAAAAACTGTTATCTTTCTAGTGTTGTCTATGTGCATTTTTCTTGTAGTGTCTTTGATCCTATATGTATTTTCCCAGTGAGTTTCTTCATTCTCTATAATTTGCAGAGAACAATTTTTTTGCTACAACTTGCACTAAAGCAGTGATGGACTACTTTTATAGCTGCATATTGTAATTTAATAGTGTGGTGGCTGTAAAGCAGTGATAGATTCATCTATTAATACAGGCGTGGAAGCAACTATTCGTAGACTTCTATTGGAAACCAACAACGTTTTATCGGAAATGATGAATAGCCGCACTGTAATTTAAAATGTGATTCTCACATTTAATAAATAAATAGATATTTGTATAGATTTGCTTTGTATGTCTGAATATACGTAAACTTTTCTTGGAAAGGCACACCATTATTTCATTTATTAAATTTGAATTCTTGGTATTCCCAACTGGACATGTCTTTTGTAAGTCTGAATATATGTAAACTTTTCTCGGAAAGGCACACCATTTTTTCGTTTATTAAATTCGAATTCTTTTTTTTTTTTGGATTAAATTTGAATTCTTGGTATTCCCAACCTGCTATAATGCAAAAGATGCACCATCATTCTCGCCCAAAACGTAGCGTTTTGCGTGGGCGGGAACTTTTTTTCCAATTTTCATTACCAAAAATGTTTGGCTTTATTATAGTAGAGATGACGTGTGCAACTACTTAGCAACTCCTATGTTCACATATAGTCGACTATATTAAATTTGAGGCGGATTGTATCCACTTTAAATGTGCATTTTGTGTGCAGTAGCATGATAACAACAAACGACATACATGAGGACAGTTATATCAAAATCTGTTCCAGTTGAGACACTCCCAAAAACCAACTTCAAACCACATCTTAAACCAAATGCACACAAAAAAAATAAGCACAATACACATAACAAATAAAATGCCACCCCAAATGCGGAATACCAACAACAGACGCATAATGCCGATAAAAAACGACACCACGTTCAAACGTTACATATAAAAGGCTTGAGAGCCTCATCACACGTCGGCATCTAATACTTTGTCTCACGCACAAGAACCAAATAAAGATTAAGCTGGATTAAATGAAATGAAAACAAGCATCATCAACTAATCATGGCCATTCCCACCAAACACACTGTGATTTACCGTCGCACTCAAAAACCTCCAACCATGCACAAACATGAAAATTTTAAAAAGAAACGAAAAAAAAAAAAAAACACAAGAACCACATCCACTAAACAACATGCCATAACTGCACAAATGTATTCAACAACGATGCACATTACATAACAAATTACCACAACCCATATAATTCTCACTCCCCTATTGAATCACATATCTTACTTTCCCGCATAGTAACAAAGCACACAAAACTATAATAATAACAATAATAACAATAATAACAATAATAATAATAATAATAACTACTTTTGTTTTGAAAGGATAATAATGACTTATCTTTTCATAATATATAAATGAGAAGAAGAATAGAGATTTGGTTGGATTCATCCTCAAGGGAGGAAGTTGCGTTGTGCATGCATGATCTGTTGTATCCCCAATCCACTAGTCTGCATAAATTTCATCTAATCTTTTCAGGGAATTCGCATCTCTCATCAACCTTAGCATCCGTCGACTTCATGGCAGACGCCCAGATATTTCAAAAGGTCTCAATACAAGAGTCCCCTTCATAGAGAACTACACATTGGACGTGTGAAGTAGACAACCCAAATTGCCTTAACATCTTCTTCACGCGTGGCCAGCCAGTGACTCTTTCATGTGTTGCCCATCGCCGGAACTACATCAGCCAAGACAGCAGTCAGCCACTAAAACGCCAACCGCAACTCCGCA